GCATCCTGCGAGGTGAATATATCCAAATTTTTTCGGGCCAGGTATGCCATTCTTCTCACCGCCGCTTAATCTCGGTAACCGAGCTGCCGCCGTAGTCCGGGATGCGGTATTCGATAAAGTAGTCCGATCGATCCGCTTGATTTCCGGCGTCCCGACGAAACGTAATCGGCGACACGCCGATGCTGCGAGTTGAAGAGCAGAAGGAGAGAGAGAGAGAGAGAGAGAGAGAGAGAGAGAGAGAGAGAGAGAGAGAGAAGTAATAGTAGCGGCAGCAGCAGTAGCAGCAGCAGTAGTAATAGAAGAAGAAGAAGAAGAAGACGGATGAGCCCACTTTTGCGTGTATGCAACCTCACCCATGAAATTACACCTTTCAACTCTACCTTGTATTATTACAAAAAAAGCGACCACAGCTATGTCAAGGATATCGATTCGCTGACGGACGACGCGGCTCGACGAGGAGAAGAAACCCGGCCCCGGTTAATCACCCGGCGGAGCACTTCGTTAAGCGGCCGCGTTTTCATTTTTGTCCCGATGACGCGCCGAGTCGAATTCCACCGTGACACGCCTGGATGTTCCTCGTGCAGTCCGCGTGCAGTCGCGACGACGTTAATTTACTTTCCGATCCGAGATTCTCCGCGGAGACGAGAGAGCGCATTAGCGGCCCGCTAATCGACCTTGTCGCATTATTCGCGCCGCGAACCGCCCGATTAATTTCATTCGGCCGATCGACTCGGCGAAGCCCCGAGCCTCTCGCCGTCCAAATTGAGCGTCACTGCGTAAAAGCATTTATTCTTACGTGCCAACGCTCTCGTTGAGCTTTACCGTGAATATACGCGAGATCGCGAGGTAAAAAGCGACAGCCAGAAATCGCTGCGGCGCTTTTTGCCGCGCGTGATCTCGCGAGCGAGCGATTTCTTCGCAACGCGTCTCTGTCGAAAGAGAGAGAGAGAGAGAGAGAGAGAGAAAGAGCGCGGGGCGGAGGGGGAAGGACTCTGCAAGCTGTGTGCACATCACGGCGTTACACGTTGTCTTAATTAAGCCCAATAGATCGTCACGTGTTCCGCGTTGTCAGTTTCAGCCTCGGTTAATCCCGACGTGCGCTTCATTGATGATGAAGAAGAAGAAGAGGAAGAAGGAGTAAGACACGTACACGATTGTTCACGCTAAAACTGCATTCTACCGAAACAACAGAGAGACCGCAAATTGGCGCTTAATTGGCTCGTTCTTTCTCACACGATAATCTGTAAATGTATTGGGAATATACGGAATTTGAAATTGATTAATTGACACAGTCACCGTAAGTCGCTTTCATATTTCAAATCCGTCCTCGATGGAGATACGGTTTCATCCACGCGCGCTCCCTCTCTCTCTCCCTTTTTTATCACGTTGCTCTTGTTCACTCGTGGACGTCTCGCGGTATCTTCTTATTCATTTCAAGTACGCCGGCGAGATAGGAAACGACACGCGCACCGGCGCAACACAGGCTCGGGCATATGAATGTTAATAACATTCGACACGCTCGCGGTAAAAGGCAGGGCAGCGCCGCGACCTGATCGCGCTGTCTACGCAAATAGATTTGCGATATCCGCGCGCGCCTCTATGTGTGTTAATTGGATCGTGCTAATACGGCGCGGACTGTATAATTCGCGAACTTACTGTGAATCTCGGAGTTCGAGCGAGCGAGCATTAGCTCTCGCTCGAGGGGAACACCATCGTACGATGGCGCGGGTAAAAATTAAATATCGCAGTAATATCGTTGGAAAGATCGGCGAGATTAATATTATCCGCGTATTATTATTGCTCTCGCGACTGACACCTAATTAAATCCCGTTGAAATCGCGCGCGCGCCCGGCACAAAGAAAATAATGTGGATGTCATTAGCCACTTTGTTGCCGCCCGCGATCAAACAGGGCTTTCCTAGATTTTTAAGCGCGCGCGCGCGCGCTAACTTGCGTGTCGCGCATTTAATCGAATCAAACACATTGCGCTTCGTCGAGGGGGCCACCGAATTAGCTCGCGGCGGAACGGGTTTTATGAAGCTTCGAAAGCCCGCCTTTGTCGGAATTCAGTGGAATGCGGCTGTTTTAAACGGGCGTGCAGGCCGACTCCGCCGATCTTTCTCCATTAAATTTAATGGGCTTTATTCGCGCGTTGCAAAACTACATGTGTCACATGCACGAGCGTGGAATACGTATATGCTTGTAAACGCGAGATCTGTCCCCCTCCCTTCCTCTCTCTCTCTTTTTTCAACTTCCCCGACAAAATTACAAGTAAATTACGCCAATCCGAGCAGGACGAGAAATCCGCCACGCACGCTCGTACGTCGTGGATTTTGCATGACGGCACGTCGACCATGGCGAGTGCCGACTGTCAGTAAACAGGAGAGCGCGCGGTATGCGAGAAATGTCGATGACGCGTAAAGAATCGAAGCGATTCCTCCGCCGCGAGCGGTCTCACCTGATAAACGCTCTTAACTCAGCGATAAACGAGTCGCTTTATCGTGACTGCACTCTTGATGAAAGAGGAAAAAAGGAAAGAAAAAAAAAAAGATACAATAAAAAATACGGACACGCGCGTCGCAGAGTTTCGGCTTGAAGGAGCCGCTGAAGGAGAGACTGACGGAGGATGAGACGAAACGTTATCACTCATTCCTCGCGATTCGCCTTCGCATTATTAAACGTTACGTTACACGTTGGAATCGACCTTAGCGACTGTTTCGCGTCTCTCTGCGACACACGACGCAACGCATGATATGGAGCATTATCATTGAAATCAGTCGAAAGAGCGCCTCGCGCGCGCAACTGTGACACTACGGAGTAGCAAGAAGGAGCGAGGAGCGCGTCGTCCGTTCGCAGTGACGTTTAAGCGTACTCTGTGGGAACGCGATGTGCACGACAGAAAAATGCGACCGCCGTCTCGCCGTTAGCCTCGTCGTCGTCGTCGTCGGGCGCGTGCGTGCGCGCGTCGACGTTCATACGTGAGTCGCTCGCTCGCGCGCGCGTAGAGCGAGATGGAGATGAAGTGGGTAGGAGGAGGAGAAAGAAGAGAGAAGCGCGACAAGAGGAAAGATTCTAAGCGTATGCAGGTAGGCAGACGCGTGCGTACGCTTATGTACCGGATCGACCTCAGGCACGCACGCACGCACGCACGCAGCAGGCTTTCCCTCTCTCTCCCTCTTCCCCTTCCCTTTCGTCCGTCGCTCGTTAGCTCGCTCGCACGCATGTTTCCTTCGAAGAAACGATCTCGTTTGTCGAAAAGTTGCTGTGTTGCTGGCCGCTCCGGTACGGCGCGCGAGACCTCGCTCGGTCTCACCTTCGCGAAACAAACATCGGCTGACACAGTTTTCTCGGCAGCGCGAGACGGGCGGCCGGCGCGCGGCGGCGCGGCGCGACGCCGCACGTTGTTGCGCCTTCCTCGCGACAAGTCGCCGTCGAGGCGAAAGGAATGTTACGCGAGAGAGAAACGATCAGCGTTCTCTCGCGGCGCTCCACCTCCTCCTCTTCCTTCTCTCCTCTTCCTCCTCCACCTCTTCTGCTCCTGCTCCTCCCGCGTTCGCGAGAAGGGTCGGCCGGGAAGGAGGCGGGAAGCGCCGCGGAGCAATTTCCTTGGAATTTTCGTAGCCGCTTTCGTGGCTACCTCGATAAACAGCTCGGCTACACCGAGAGACATCGAAATGTCTCTCTCGCCTTGCGCGAAGACACGAGTCCGCGATATTACGTGCGAAAACGGGAGAAAGACTGAGTGAGAGTGAGAGAGAGAGAGAGAGAGGAGAGAAACGACGAGACTCGTCGGTGTGCCTGCCTGTGTTCTCGTCCTCTCTCTCTCTCTCCGCTCTCCTCTCGCGGTCACTCCTCCTCGTCCTCCTCCCCTCCTCGTTCCTCCCACTCGTTGCTCTCTGTCTCTCTCTCTCTCTCTCTCTGCTTACGCATACACACACACACACACACACATACACACATATACGCTCGCTCGTCCGCTTTTTTTCTCCATCTCGTACGGTACGGCATACCGTAAGACTTCGGAGGTCTGACGTGAATCAGGCATGACATTGGCTGCGACACAACAAACTTCAAATCTCACTGATGCACACTTACACGCGCGCATACACGCGCGCACGAGAGAGAGAGAGAGAGAGAGGAGAGAGAGAGAGAGATAGAAAAGAGAGTGGGGGAAGAGAGATAGCTGGCAATACACAACAGCAGCGCGACCGACTACGATGACGACGTCGACGTCAACGTCGACGATGGCGAGCACTGGCCGCGAATATAGGTTAACGTTCGGAGCGACGTTCAGCGGGTGGTCGCGCTCTCGCCGTCGCTCGCGTCGTCGTGTCGCGACGTGACGTATCTCGCGCGACGATGCCGGCGATCCACCGAAAGCAGACTCTCATCGTCTCGTTTCCCGAGAGAGCGATCTCTCGTCGCCTCGGCATCTCGTTCGCGGCGCGGAGTCGACATCAACGTCGTCGGCGAAACTCGCCGGCGGACGACTCGCGCGGCAGCGATCCCGCCGCGTCGCGCGATCGCGAGACGTTTCGCGAGAGCAAACGAACATGACGATCACTCACCAGTGCGAAGAAATTCGTGTGGCAGTCCTCCAGGCTGGCGCCGTTGGTTTGATGCGACGGATGCGTCATGGCTTCTCCATCGTACGCCGCGCACGCATTAGTCTAACACACGCGTCCGGCGACAGACGAGCTTCGACGTCGAGATCCTGGGCGATCACACTCGCGAGAAATCCGCGCAACGGCGGCGAGCCGCGCTCAATCACTCGACTCGTACATTTAGGAGGGTTTTCACTTCTCAATGGCGACCGTAAAATGGCGGCGGGCGGCGATGGGAAACAACAAGCGCAGCCGCGCCGGGCGCGCCCCCTAACGCTCACTGCCGCAGCTCCAGTTCCCGTCGACGGCTACCGCCGTCGCTGCTGCTGCTGCTGTTACCGTTGCCGTTGCCACTGCTTCTTCTGCTGCTGCTGCTGCTGCTGCTGCTGTTACCACCACCACCACCACCTCCACCTCCACTACTACCACCACCACCACCACCACCACTACTATTGCTATTACTGACAACACCGTGCGTACGGCTACGACGACGACGACGAGTGTGAGGAAGATGGCGGCGCTCATCAGGCATGGCTTGTTCGCCAATGCTTTCAAGAGTACTCCGATTATCGTACGCAACAAAGTCTCCGTTAACAAGGTCAGTGAATCATTCTCCCAACGCGGCGCGACGCGTCACGCACTCGCTCACTCATACACTACACCGAACATGACGCGACGCACGCACGCACGCACGCACGCACGCATGCACGCACGCACGCACTCGCGGCTACCAAGACGCGTCACACGTTGCTCAACAACGAAGGCGATCGCGATGATGACAGTGACGATGACGACGACAACAGTGACCGAGACAGCGGCCCCGTCGCCGTAGCGGTGGACTCGACAGGAGCGCGACTGGTCGACACGCGCGCCACTGACACTAACGAGATGGTCATTTTTTCAGGCTAAGGAGTTTCCTCGCGATAGACGTCTGATGGAGATAAAGGCGAGGCTCAACTCCGTCACGAAGTCCCTGGGTGCGCGCGGGTAAGCACAGTCGTGTCCGCGATCTATGCTTCACGTCGCTGTCGAACGGTGAAACTCGCGACGTTGCGTTGCCGCTGCTTGACTGACGGGAACCACACCGCGGCCATGTTACTGTTCGCCACCACTACCGTCGCGCCTCGACCAATCGGCCGACGGATCTGACAGGTCCTCAGGGCCGTGCGGTTCGCGCGCCGCTGGGCGTCCCCGACGCGCCCCGAACGCGCATGCGCTCGCACGCGCACATTCGGCGGCGAGAAAGCGTAAACACACTTGTCTTTCTCCGAATTGTCGACGTTTTCCGTTTAATGTGACGGGATAGTCAATCTCTGGCAAACCATTGAAAAAAGAAAAGAAAAAAGAAATGCTCTCCTACCGGACGCGTCTGAAATTTATCGGAGGACAAATGTCCACGTCTCTTTGCTTCGGACCGCACGACGAGTTTGTCGCGGACGCGAATTACAACGGCCGTTGCGAGATCGCCGGCACTGGCCGACACCAGTCGTAACGTTATTTCAAGAGAGAGTACGCACGATGGCAGCACCGTACAATCACCGTGGACATCGATCTCCTCCCTCCTTCTTTTCGTGCCACTTCCCCGTCCCCGCGGTCTCTTCGTCTTGCGCGCCGGATCACGTCGGATATCGTCGCGAAAGAGCAATTTTTTCGCGGCTGCGAAAAGTTTTGCGCGAGTTTCGCCGTGACGGTGTCTGTCGTGGCGGCATCGCGACGTTGAAGGCTGCAATACGCGAGGCCGGGAGGACGTCCGTCCGGCGAAAAACGCTACGGATAATAAAAATATCCCTCCCGCCCGCTCCTATTTCGTCGTTTTTCTCTCCGCGAATATTAAATCGATGGGCTTATAGCACGAAACTGTCTCAAATCCGTATCCTTGGAAAAATGGATATTACTGCGAGAACTGTAGGGATCTTTACACAGTCTCTCCCTCCACTCTGCTTTCCGATGTAACATAAAGTTCAGAGAAACATGCTCTGTGTGATTCCGGCGCAAAGTTCATAAAATTCGCAGTCATTTTTATCTTGCTGCTGGTATAATAAGCTGGTATATTTTAATCACGCGAGGCGACAATTCGGCTTTTTCACAGTCATTTCGCATCGGACAGTCGACGATTTGCACGTTGATATTTTAATCGATTATTTAATCACGATCAATAAACGATCACGAAATTGTGATGCGTCGTGCGTGAATGTTCTTTTCAGATTTCTCAGGCCACAAAGGGCTTATGAGCCGACCAAAGACACGTCCGAGAGGATCAACAAGATCTGCGCGAGTCAAGCGATCTCCTCGGGCGATGACGTGAAGCTGGAGGACCCTCATCTGCGTTTTAAACTCTTGGTCGCCTGCGAGGAGGAGTTTCAACATTGCGTGCCAAGCTCGCTGCTCCACACCATCGAAAATATCGGTTAGCGGACATTTTCTTCGCTCAACATCAAAGTGAGATTATCAGAGCGAGAGAGGTTCAATAATGTCGCGTAAATTTCGCAGGGGATTTGAAACAATTCTACCGGACACCGGTCGACTCCGCAACGCCGTACGAGGCGTTGGCCAACATGCAGTTGCCCGAGAATTTACACGTCCAACAGGAGTATCATCGATTCCATCCGGGTGAGATGTCATGCGTATATAATTTTATCGCCGTACATTACCATTACTGTCGTGATCACTCCTCCCATTTATCTGTCATTTGTCTCGACAGACACCGACACACTGTTTAACGGCAAAACCGCCTTCCCGAAGAGCTCCACCATCGTGACCGGTCTCAAGTACAAAAAGAAATACCCCGGACACTACCAAGGGAATCCGTTCCTGGACGAACAGTTGAAAATCTAAACAACCGCATCGCCGATAAATCAACATCGACTGTACCGTGTAAACGTGGAAATGTTACAGAGAGCAATAAATTTGTTACATGATAAGAGCCGTGTCGTCGTCCGGCTCGACGAGGATCCGGAAAGGCGTGATCGCTTCGCAAAAGTACAGAACGATACTTCCGCTTGCGCCTCCGGGTACCGGACGGGTGTTCTTCTTCGCGAGAATTAACAGCCGCGGCGCGCTTCGCGTAATCGAAGAGTTTCTTTCCCCCTCGGGACCGTTCGAAACGCGCGTATATTTTTGAGGAAACCGCCGAGAAACACGAAGGTGCGGCCCAGGCAGCAAAACAGAGAGAACCAGTCACGATGACGAGTCAAAATGACGAGAAAATGACTGAATCACGATGAAAAAAAAAAAAAGAGTTTTCCTCATCATTTTGACGTCATTTTGATGTCATGATTTTCTCTTCCGCCTGGGGGTGTGCAACTTGACGTCATTGCCTCCCTTCAGCCGAGCCGAGCCGAGCTGAATAAATGCCTCAATCGGCAGCGTCGACATCGCGAAAGTATAGCCGAGGGCCACGTATGCGCGATCGCGTGTGCGGCTGCGACCTGTGGCATGTACGGCAGCGTAACTTCGACCCGATCGACCCATCGGCCACGCGTAGCAACGTGTTGATGATGCAGTATCGACGAAAGGCACGAGCAAACGGAGCGTGATTTGTTTGCACACAGAGAGAGAGAGAGAGAGAGAGGAGAGGGTGCCGCAACGCGGCGGTGTCCGCCGCAGTGGCCGTTACATTTTGACTGTGCGCGACGGGTGGTCCGTCCGCGTCTGGTGAAACGCGCTAAAAAATACATTGCTCGATAAAACGCTGAGACAACAATAACCGCGCGCGCGATGCCCGGGATTGCGAGCGCGACCGGCCTCATGTCCGCGCGAATTCGACCGGTACACCGACCGAAGCCCAAGGTAATAGAAATCACGCTCCATGCAAACGAATCGCGTGCCGTACGCGCGAGCGGGATTCCCCGCTCGTCTTTAATTTCTTAAGAGATCACGTATGCGTCTCGCGCAGAGAATAGAATTGTCGGGCTGCACGAAGGCAGCACCGTTTGCTCTCCGACCGTTCGCCGGCCTCTTCAATCCATATCCCTACGGCTGCTCGGTGCTGTGCAACCATCCGGCGGATTGCGAAGCGAAGGAGGTGGTGCGCCGCGCCAAAGATACATGGGTGAGAGAGAAAGAGAAAGATACGACCATTCGCCGTTTTCGCGAGTGTTGGCGTATAAATTTTTAATATCGCGCGTACTTTTTCCTAATTAGGCGACCGAAGGAAAAGCGCTCTTGCTGCCGGAGGAGATGGAGATGATACGGACGAGTTTAATGGCAGTCGCAGGCGGCGGGGGCGGCGGCGAGGCGGCTGGAAATGTCGGAGGTGGCGATGGCTGCAATATCGAAGCGACGGCCGTGCCCGAGGAACTCTTCCGGAAATACACGGAGACCGACTCGCGACCTCCGACCCCGGCACCCACGCTCGCCAGTGGGCCGGCATTGACCAATCGCGCGGCGACTCAGGAAGATTTACCGGCGACCTGTAATCCGCGCGAACGCACCACCTTGGTCCTCGATCTCCGTGCCGCGAATTCGCAGCACCACCAAGTGGTCGGTAGACATGTGTATATATATATATATATATCTCTCTCTCTCTCTCTTTCTCTCTCTCTCTTTCTCTCTGAGAGCGTGCGGATTACGAATGTATCTCGAGGATCCAATCTAGCGCGAGATGTTATCGCGCCGATATCGCGCTTTCTTTCCGCTTCGGCTTCTCACTCACGAGGATGCGCTCGTACGGCTTTTAGGAGAGCGAGACCTTCAGCTGGCACGCGCTTACGCTCGAGCCGCCGCCGACGCCGCCCCGGAAGAGCGAGATATTCATCAGCAAGCCGGTACCGCGACCGCAACATTCGTCGGTGGTACCCGCGCCGCCCCCTCCGTCGCCTCCCTCGCCCATCGCTGAAAGATGCGAAACGGTAAGTTGATCGATTTGCAGACGCCGCGCGAGTCGCGAGCTCGCGGTGTTCCCGTTACCCGGGATCGTTTCGTCCTTATAACGAATTCTTATAACGAAAAATAATCCGCTGCCGCTGCCACTACGGGTGAAAGAGCTCGTCCAGGGGGGACGAGGCGAGGGAGGAGGCCGCCGACAGCGGCAGCAGCGAGCGACCCGTAATTATTCGAAGACGGGGAAAGCGGTTGCGTAAAAGAAAATGTAGGAGGGGCTCGACGTACGGCCAACAAACGGAAGTCCGCGATCCGCTCGAGCCCACGGTGACGCAGGTCTCGCAGATTGAAGAGGGATCGAGACGACCGTCGTCAGTATATCCACGCAAATATACGTTTACAATTGTACCGACGGCATCGACGTGAAAAGCGTTGCAACTGTCCCCTCGGTTGGAATTGTTCAAGCGCGATGTTAATGTTAATTCCGGGTTAACTGCGAGTGTACTTTCGTAGTTGATTTCACATCCTCTCCTCGATGCCATTCGGTACATCCGTTTCTCTATATTGTAGCTGAGAATTTTGGACGCGGAAGAAAGATACGAATGATTTTTCTATGACTAACAAGGAAACATAACGCGGGAATTGAAAAAATTCTGAAACTTTGTGTGGAAATAAAGTGGTTCGTCCGTAATGCAAAACTATTTTTCGTTCGTGCGAAATTTCAGCCTGAGTGGGTCCCCTCACTCACCCCCCCCCCCGAGGGGAGAAAATCGCCCTTCGAAAAAAAAAACCATTTTCAGCGTCGTATCTTTTAAAATAGAAAATAAAGATAAAATTGAAAAATTTTTGAAACCCCCTCCGCCGTCCTCCAATTTTGCAAAATCTGAATACCCAGTTGCAAAGAGTATGAAATACACTACAACTTTCATATAAACCATTTTTGCATACGCTTCGTAAAAGATTCGTAAAAGAAGCTCGTTAAAAGATATACACTAAAAATGAAGATGATTTTTTTTTTTCGAAAGGGGATTTCACCCCCTCAGAACTGGAATTCCGCACGAACAAAAAATAATTTTGCATTACGGACGAACTATATATATATATTTTGCTTCTACACAAAGTTTCAGAATTTTTTCAATTTCCGCGTTCCCTATGTTTTCTTGTAAGATTCCAAGAGAGAGAGAGAGAGAGAGACAGAGAGAGAGAGAGAGAGAGAGAGAGAGAGAGAGAGAGCAGTTGCGATACTTTCCACTGATGCCGTGAGGAGTACGCCTACTTTATACCGAATGAGAATTCGATTGATTGCGGAAGAGATTTCTTGATAAAAATGTAACAGAGTTCATACGACAAATACGGCCGAAGCTGATGGCGCGGTGTCTCTCAAAAAGGCACCCGCGCCGGCAGCGAGTTACACGATGCCGCCGAGTTTCCTCGCAGCCGACGTTCTCAAGCATTTGTGCCGAGAGCTGGACCGCGATAAAGTGGAGGCGGAGTTTTCGATCAAGGTGAGTACGACGAATTTAACATTCTCGCGGAGAAACTCCTCTGCCCTGACGCGAAGTAACTCGACTGTCTCAGAGACGGATCGCTCTGGAGGAGGCGCTGCGGGTGAAGGGCGACGTTTCTTACTCGCGCGGATCTCGCCTGGCCAGCGCCAATCTGTCGGCGCAAAATACACCCCGAGTATTCTCCCGTCAAATGGTGCGATTCGAGCTACTCGACAGTCAGAGTCTTCGTGGTGTGTATCGATGTTTTCAGTCACGTTTCTTTCCCATTCGCAATATTCGCAATTTCGGAATTTATATAGACAATTGCGCGACAAAGCAAAGGTAGAACTCTCGATCGAGAAGCAATAAATGTAACGTCTTGACGAAAATTAAATCCTCTTTATACATACTAAACAATTCGCTGGTCGTTTTATGTAAGGTCACTGAGAGAGATAAAGTGTCGTCGGGATTTACGTTTGTTGTAGGATTAACACCTTTGCAGTATCTCAGCAAGCACGTGTGCGTCACGTCGGGCAGGAAGCTGATATTTGGCCGAATATTTACTAAATTCAACGAGGAGACGCCGCAAGGAGAACGGCGCATCTCGCCGAACTATGTCGAAGAGGCTCTTCAGGAAGTGGTCAGGAAGGCGTTGACGGACGAGCAGCGGTCTTATCTGAGGACCATGATAGGAGAGATAACGGAGTCGTTGAACTTCAAGGAGTGGTGCGGGTTATCCGCCGTCGTCGAGAGACTGTTGTGTCCTCTTCCGTCGAAGGAAAGCGATCCGCCGACGTGGCTCGAGAGAGCGGACTTCGAAGCTCTGGAACGGAGACTCAAGTCAGCCGAGGTGGACTCTACGTTGGCGTTATTGTTGAAGGAGATTCGTGACAGATAAAATGACGCGTTTCTTATGCATGTCCTTTCTTTTCTTTATCACAGTGATCACTAATTGTATAATGTATCTCACGATGTGTTTCATAGGTATGATTATTATTTGATTGATGTGTGTAAGCCTAAAATAAAATCTCTTTACGGTTCTACAAATGAACCCTATATAATATATATACATACATACATATATATATATATACATGTATATATATGTATATATATATATATATATATATATATATCGACGTTCTTTGCATAGCGGTTGTACGACAGACTTTGATATTCCAAGCGAAGACATATACAAAAGTATAAGTGTCACTTCATAATAAGTTACGAATGATGACTCTATTACGAGATACCTACTGTTATCTTGTTCGTTAATATGCGTAACTATTACGTCGAAATGAAATCGGCCGTCCACAAATGTACTAAATTTCGATCGTTTTTCTTTATGTTTTCAGTATAAAAAATGGACCGTGGTTCAATTTCCTCTCGTCTCGAGACACTGATATGTAATTCATTCTCGCAGAACTCTGTAATATAGGTCGAACATTAATTAATCTCACGTACATCGCACGCGCGATGCGTTACACGACGAGACTAAGATTACGAACCGTGAATTGAACGTAATGTGATGCGAAGATCACGAATACTTACTCGCCCTCAGCGTCGATCTATTGACAACACGAGATGCAGGACGAAAGAAAGCTCTTCAATCTACGTTCATCGCACATTTTATTGCCAGAGCGGATTCGCGTCCACATCCACTCGAGCGTACACACGTTGGCGTCGGTACTCGATCCACTTTGTTTTGTTTTTTTTTCTTTTTTTTTCTTTTTTTTTTTGGCTAATATACAAACGAGTTCTCTGCTTCTCTCGTACTCTCTTTCTTTCTCTCTCTCCCTCTCACTCTCTCTCTCCCTTTCACTCTCTTTCATTCTCTCTCACTTAACAACATAATAAATAATGGCTCACTTTTGTTATCGTAGGGATAATATAAAACCGGTGTGTTTGTCGTGTGTATGTGTGTACGTGTCTGCATTGGTAAATAAATTAAGTAAACGAGAACGGTGCACTCGTTTACGCAGTTGTTTACGCACGACGACAAAGTATTTCTCCGACGAAGTTGCGAGCTCATCAAATGCGATTGCGAGCCACTTGGTCACGTGACCAAGAGTCGAAATGAGTATATGAGACATCCGACGTCACGCAATTGCGACGTACGCGACGATCGAGGTGTAAAATGTAAGTATTTTTATTATACTTTTATCTATCAGGTAAGAGTATAATAAAGAGAGAGTATTAGAAAAGTATTTACACCGTACGGCGTATTTACACTCGGCTGTACTCGGCTTCTGTCACAACCGGATTACTACATAACCGGCTCATCAGTGATCGCAAACACAAACACAAACACAGTTAACGCAACACAGTAACGCAGATCGTGAGCGGTGGCTCGCGATCGTGACCATCCGACGCGTCCCCGACTTCGACGGAAGAAACGTCTGCCAAACATTGTGCAAACGAGTGCGCACGACGCGTAGGGGGTGATAAGAGTACTGGATCCGCGCGATACTAGTACTTCATCAGAATCATACACTACCGGATGTGTCTCTTGTTTTCTCCGTGCCTATTGAATTTTTGTTCACCGTGCCCGATGACGTATGTACGTCGGCGTTGTCTCGGGCTCTCTCTCTCTCTCTCTCTCTCTCTCTCTCTCTCTCTCTCTCTCTCTCTCTCTCTCTCTCTCTCTCTCTCTCTCTCGGGGAAGGGGGGAGGAAGGCTCGGTCGCTGCTAGTCACTACGTCACATTGCACATACAACTAACGTACAAATATAACGATGCCTACGCGCGAGCCACGCCAGTGACCAGAAGAGCCGCGGATTAGATGTATATGTCTCTCTGTGCGTGCGTATGTGTGTGTGTGTGTGTGTGTGTGTGTGTGTGTGTGTGTGTGTACGTGTGTTTGTATTTATGTAGGGGCGCGCGCTCGCTCGCTTGCGCGCGCCTACTTGCTCGTGGCCCTGGGAACGTACGTACGCACAATGTACGATACACTACTTGGCTAAAATCTCTATGATACAGCGCAGCGCTATCCGCCGTACACAACGGGACTTCCTCGGGACGTTTCGCGCGTCTGAGTTTAGTCTGCCAAGAGAGAGAGAAAGAGAGAAAGAGAAAGAGAAAGAAAGAGAGAGAGAGAGAGAGAGAGAGGGATCATCGTCATCCGCTTACGTCGTGAGCGACGAGTCAAGAGACAAGCGCCGTGTGTGTTTCCTCCGCCGGGAGGAGGAAGAGTGGGGGGCACTACCGCGTGCCGTCGCCGTTATTCGGAGAGACGCCCTTCTTTATGTTTTTCCTCTTGCCGTCGCAGTGCGCTCTCCGTTTAGTATAAAAAAAGTTGCTGCTGCTGCTGCTGTCGCTGCTGCGGGGCAGTGGGACTGGTGGAGTATGGCGGTGCGTCGCACTTGACATCGACAATGGGCTAGTTGCCGTTTGTGGATCGCTGCGTCGCCGGGATCACGGCGTCCCGCTCAGTCCCGTAGATCTTGCCCGCTTTCCGCGCCATATTGCCAAGCATCTCCATTGAGCATTTGTGCGCCGATCTCAACGAGAGCGCCCACTCCTTCAAGCTTATCTCGTCCTGCGAGCAGAGTTAATCGCGCGCGCGCGCGCGCGTTAAGGCAACGTTTAATTTACGTATTTTATATTAGGTAGGATTACGTCGCGCAAACAACAGACAAAAACAGAATCGAAAGATTCTGCACTCACAGCGTTTGTAAGTACGATCTTCGCGTCTCTCGTACGTACTACGATGCACTGTTCTCCTTTCACGTGCTGCAGATCCGCCCCGACTTCCTCGACCTGGAAACACGAACAAGTTGATTTGCTTCGTCTCTCTGCTTTTATTTTGTGTGCGTGTGTAGTTGAATACAACGGCATAGCATCCGCATGAGACACTTACCTGATCGAGAAACACGAGCTCGGGTTTAGTCGCGGATTCTGGATGTAATTCTAACCGATTCGGGTATAATTTCGCGTAACGCGTCTGCCATGTGCTCGCGAACGGGCCCCCTAATTTCCTTATATAACCGTGTAATATACAATCGGAACCTGCAAAAAAGAAGCCACGAGTCATCGATTGGCTGCACTCGAGTGACGTCTTAGAACGGTTAGTTATCTAACTAGGCAGACATGAGCACTTTTCTTCGCGCAAGGAAGAAAGAGAGAGAGAGAGAGAGACGCATAGCGCGAGCGCGCCCAGTTGAACAGCTATTTTACAAGCGTCGGAGCACAATACTCTTTTCATCGCAGACACTTACCCTTTTCATCCGCGTCAAAGTGCTGCTTCTGCTTCGCCTTCTTCTTATTTTCCAGCTGCAACGCAACAGAAGATGACACAGCGCGCTCTCTCTTCAACGCGACGACGACTTACGAGTAACGAATAACGAAAGAAATACATTGGATTTACAAGATGAATTATTTATCGCGTACCTTGTCCGCTTCGTTATTGATTGTCTCGAACACAGTCTCGGCCACTTCAGCCTGCCATCTCTCCGAGATGACTAGAGGAAAGTTTTTGTACAGATCCTGATCCGCGTCCGTCAGCTTGATACCCTTCGTATCCTCCTCGTCGAATGAGCCGATATCAAAGGCATCCGCGGCGTTGACTTCGCCGCGCGGCGGGATTAAGGGCGGCGTGTACTTCTGGAGGTACACCTGCTGCCAATCGATACCGCTGAAAAACGAGTGCTCCTTTAGCTCGTCTGCGCCGTTTCCACGGCAGCCGAGTCGATTGTTGATGTCCCGTTGAAGCAGACCTTCCAACAGCGACCGTAGCTCCCGCGAGAAAGTCTCCGGTAATTCCACATTCTGCAATCAATACGATACGCGCGATCGGCGCGTCAGTACCAAACCGTGTGACGCAACATCTAATCGAGTAGGCGCGCGAATTTGCAACATCATCCTCACCAACGCACCATTGTTAACGTCATACGATCTATCTCGTGCTTGTCCTTGGTCTTGTGTTGCCTGAACGGACTGTGACCTTTCAGCAGCTTATACAACATACAGCCGAAAGAGAACCAGTCCGCGCTCGAGTCGTACGCGGTGCCCTTTGAAAGTACCTCCGGTGCCATGTAACCGTGCGTACCGCTGTTGTGAGAATATTCATAGAAAGAGAAAGAGAGAGTGAGAGAGAGAGAGAACACGACTTAGAGCACTGCGTTATCATGCGCCGAGAAGCGTTTTCACCATTTCTCCCCCAAAGGCAAGAAGGGAATAATACTCACACACTCGCGTGAGGCTTCTTTTTCGAGAAATCGCACGCCAATCCGAGATCCGATATCCTCACGTGGCCGTGCTCGTCCAACAGTATATTCGCCGGCTTCAGGTCGCGGTAGACGATGTACCTACGATGCATATGCTCCAAGCCCAATATCACCTCTGCGGCGTAGAACTTCATCTCCGGCTCGTTGAAAACCCCGTGCTGGCTCAGATGGTAGTGCAGGTCGCCGCCGTTCATCAGGTCCAATATGAAGCACAGCTTGTCGGCCGTGTGAAACGCGTACGTCATGCATACTATGAACGGACAGTCCATCTGCGGATGAGGATGAATCTTATTGCGTGAAACCCCATGGTCGCGCGTGACGTCACGTCAGCGACGGCTTAGGTAACCGCGGTGGAGGTAAACACACTCACCCCGGTGCTGACGAGCGAGAGCATTATCCTTTCGTTGAGCGCTAACGTTTCACCCTGCTTCATCTTGATGCGCTTTTTGTCCAGGCATTTCATGGCGTACATTTTGCCAGTGTCCGCTTTCCGGCAACCGTACACCTCGCCGAAGCCGCCTCTCCCTATTATTCGGTGCACGCTAAAGTCGCTCATCGTCAGCTGCAATTTCACAACACAAGACGCGTGTGATAATTCGATCTTAGCGCGCGCGCGCGTGCGTCTCGTCTGACGGCTGATGAACGTGTGTTTATTACCTGAATATTTAGCTCTAGGTTCTTCCACTGGCAGAATCGGGTGTACTTGTCGCTAGAAACATAGGCAAATGTTTTTTAGACGCCGTAAGCGCGCCGACGCGCGCGCACTTTGACGCGAACGCGAAAGACGCGCGTTTTCTTTCTCGAAGAGAGTGAATATATATATATATATATATATATATATATATATATATATATCGTGTACCTTTCCAGAAATTTCTTAAACGGCTCCCCTCGCAGGTGATTGAAAATCTCCTCGATGTACGGCTACAAATAGAAGGGCATTTTTGATCCAACAACTTATCGTCGCGCATAAACACACGCGCTAAACGGGCAGAGACGGCCGCGAACGAAGACAATCTCACCTACCTCGAACAAGTTGACTGGAACTTCATTTTTCATGAGATACTTGTGTACGTGCGACACCGCCTCCTGCGAATATTCCTGCAAAAGACAGATGTGTCGCTTGTACATCGCAATTACTCACTACGAATGAACGGCAATAGAGAATCTCTTTGCCGTTCTTGCGAGTGTGATCGATGACCGAAGTTGAGAGGTTTCGTCAGTCACGGAACGAAAACGTTTGAGCGAACGACAGAGAGAGAGAGAGAGAGAGAGAGAGAGAGAGAGAGAGAATCGAAATGAAAACGTCATCGGATAACATGTCGCATAACTCTCCTTCTCTCTCTCTCTCTCTCTCTCTCTCTCTCCCTCTCCCGCTCTGCCTTCCTCGAAGACAAGATATCTTCGATAACGGAATCCTCGTGCGTCCTCTCCTCCTCGGCAAAAGAAGATTCCTCTTTCATTCGGTCACCGCGGAAAGGAACTCCAACGTGCCGCCTTACTCACGTGAGAATGCGCCAGCAACTCCTTCATAATGTAATTGTCGTAGATCTCCCTGGCGAGTTTTCTCCTGTCTTCTGGACACTCGAGCTTCTCGTACGCTTTGATCTACAATGCAGAAACGTAAGATTCCTTTATGGAGTTGGCTCGGCGTCGACGTACCGCGCGACTGCTACTACTCGAACTTAACTAGTGTAGCGGGTTGTTAAAACACGAACCTCTTCGTAAAACCTAAGTTGCGGAATCGGTTCCTCCGCTACAGTCTCGCAGAAGTCTTTGAATAAAAGGTAACCTGGAAGTACACACGTGGAGTTTGGCTTGACATCGGCGAACTTTCAGTGATCGGTATCGTTTCGGTATCGCGCCGCTTTAGAGACAACAACGACGACGACGACAACGACGACGACGACGACGACGACAATGACGATGACGACGACGACGACGACGACGACGACGACGCCGTCGCCGCCTTTTACATCCTACATCCTAATTCTACGGCGGGAAGCAACAATCGAAGCGAGCGATATACGTATGTGCGTGACACAGGCAACTGTCCGTCGCAAATCGCCGCGTGTCTGATAAAGGTAACGCCTTTCCCAGGTCATCTCGCGATCAATTTGCACGCGTCATTCCGTGACGGCAAAATCAGCCGTATTATTGGATCGTGTTAATCGGGACCGAATTTGCGAACGAAGATTCGTCTGGATTCGCGAAGTAACATTCCACGACAGGGTATAACGAGGATACTTCACGTATAGCGCGAGGTAAATGCATTCAATTAGCGCGATTCAATGATTAAACGCCATTCGATCATCGGCTTTGTCGAATTTTCGGAATGCGGATGAACGCATTCACGTATAGTCGCGTCAAAGTTCTCGCGATACGATGACGACGACGACGACGACGACGACGATGACGACGACGGCAACGACGACAACGACAGCGACGACGAGTCACGAAAGAATTATTCCACGTATAATAACGCAACGACGGCTATGTTTGCCCTATGAATAATGCATGCACGCATCTTATATATTTGCGTCAATCGGAAAGAATATGCTAATATCCGAGGGGAGAGGCAGCGCATATATCGCGGGGTCGTTTTATTGGACAGAAATAAAAAGCGCCGGAAAGTACGATGTGTTCTCATCGCCGCGCCGCGCCGCGCGCTCTCTTCGCGACGATTGTTCTCGCGAATTTACAAACCGGCGGAAAGATCCTACACGCGAACTACACCCAGAGAATTCCCCTTTGTCTCCCCGAAGATCTCGAAGGGAAACGTGGAGAGGGCCGCAAGAATCGCGAGGCGAATGAAGGCGAAGACAAAGACGAGGAAAATGAGAAGGGGAAAGAGAATGAAGAAAAGAAGAACGAGAAGATGAAGATGAAGATGTAGAGGAAGAGGAAGAGGAAGAAGAAGAGAAACACGGAGGGAAACATAAACCTACAGGGCGGTTCCCGCACGGCTTACTCACCTAACATTTGATTAAATATTTTGTCGAAGTTCACTTCGTTCTTCTTCTCCAGATACTTGTGCATCACGCTCCGCACGCTGAAACAGAAAATAGGCCTCCATCAGCCGGCGCGACGTGTTCCATGCGTGCGTCGCGAACGCGATCCGGCTTATCGAGAGCGTCGCGCGCGCGCGGGAGGAATATATTAGCGCGCGCTCAACTCGGCATCGCAATTCGAAATTTCCATACGCCGTGTATCAACGCGAAATTGATCAATATACGAAACGGTGGAATTACAGTCATTATAAGCCATCGCGTATGTATCGTCGTCGATAGCGATCCGCGCGTGTAAGATCGCTCTCCGTCGGCTCACTCCCTCCCTCTCTCTCTCTCTCTCTCTCTCTCTCTCTCTCTCTCTCTCTCTCTCTCTCTCTCTCTCTCTCTCTCTCTCTCTCTCTCTCTGTCTCTCCCAGTTTCACCCTCTTGCTTCTTCTCTCTCTCCTCTCCTTTCCCTCTTTCGCAGCTGTGTGGCTCGAATAACAAAGCGCTCGCTTCGCGATACCGTTGACACAATAGCACGCGAATTATTCGACAGAATACGGTATGTATGCAGCACGCACCGCGCGGACACGACGCCTCTCTCTCTCTCTCTCTCTCTCTCGAGCGTCTCTTTTCAATTATCCAAATGACCCGCGCGGGGTCGAAAACTATGTAGGTGTGTAGCACTCGGCTTTGTCCATTACTATCATTATCACGAGAGGAAGAGAAAGAGTGAGAATGCGAGGGAGAGGGGAAGGGTAAGGGGGGAGAGGGAGAGAGGGAGAAAGAGAGAGAGAGAGAGAGAGAGAGAGACGCTAAATAAAATTGAAATCATTTTAACCATGTTATATTTCCTCGGAAAACCTTGGTGGCTCGCCAGATGTCATTGGACACCCGGCGGCTGACATTCGATAGAATATTGAAGCGAGTAATTAGCCGTCGTAAATATCGCATTAGCGAGCGTCACGATATCGCTCCCGTGCGAGCGCTCTCGCTCGCTCGCACGCAATGACTATTCCCCGCGCGGTTGCGGTGACCTTTGAAAAGCACGAGAAGGTGTGCCCGGGCGAGTCGTACGAAATCTTTACGACCCGGCGACATTCTCCGAGATTGCTCATCGCCGATGAATAAGGTAATAAATTCGAGAATTCTCGCGAATTCACCGCGAAATCGTCGCTCGGTTGCTTCCGCCTGGCAAAGACAAACGATAAAATCGTCCATCGTCGGCGACGGCGACGACGACGACGAGCGTGTATAACACACGAGCGAACACGACGCGTTTTGGTATATTAATTTTGACATTTGAATCCGGTGCCGTGGCATGGCCAGCGCGCGTCGCATAACCCACGCGAGAGAGTACACGCGCGCGCGCGCTTACGCAAATGCCCGATAAAAGAGAAACGCCAGAACCCGGTCGAGCAATCGGCTCGGGCCGTAAACTGGCTGCTTGGCTGGCCGCGGGCCGAAGAAGTACATACGTCGTACCGTCGTGTACGTGTAGCATCGCGGTCAATTGCTTCGCAATGGATGCACCAAGGCGAGCCGATGTAGCTGCAATTGGTAATGTCGGCTATTTCAGTCGAGTGACTGGGCGATTTCAGAGGAAAAAAAAAAGGCGTACTCGCGCGCTTCAGCGCTTACTCGCTCGATCGCCTCGCCTGGACTCGCTAGGAAACGCGGTGTGCGATAACAGCAACGTAATCAATGACTCTCGAGAGAAGATAACGCGCCGGCGAGGGGAGTGTAGTGTGTCGTATGTAGTGTGAACGTAGTTCTCGCGATACTCTTTCTCTCTCTCTCTCTCTCTCTCTCTCTTGGGCGCGCGTCTCCTCCCGCGGTGACGCTTTTATTCTCGATTCGCGTTGCGAAGCCGACGGCGCGGTTAAAAAGGCGCGCACGCCGCCGCGCGAAAACTTGTTTTCGCACCAGCCCGTCTTGCTTTGGAATAATCCTGCGGCGAGGACGAAAAAAATGTGGCTCCACGTAGCGTTTCTCTATTGTGATAAATCATTTTCGCTTAATACACTGACGTTAACGTCGAATAGAGCGCCTTTTACGACGATGTTGTTCCCCCTCTCTCCCTCACACACACACACACACACACACACACACACATACACACATACGCACACACACGCGCGCGCGCGCCGAAATTACTGGATTTTTATGACTCCCGGTTATAGCGGCGAATCGGCGATTAATAATCACCTTCGGCGTAGCTCGTCGATCCGACGCGAGCATCGCTTTTTCGCTCGGTCGCTCCTCCTCTGTCCGGCGTTTTTCTACGCGGCGAGGGTTAATTGAGTTTCAGAACGGAGCGAGCGTTCCTCACCTCGCCGCGCCATGGAGCTCTTATTTATGCAACAGCATCTCAGAGAGGCTGGTCACCCGTGGAGATCACCAAGGGCGCGCGATTCCTCGCTAAATTATACAATCGGAAGGTCGCCACCGGCCCGATCGGACGGCACTAACGGCGGAGGGATTCTTAATTTTGCGCGCGCGCGCGCGTGTGCGAGTCTCTCTCTCTCTCTCTCTCTCTCTCTCTCTCTCTCTCTCTCTCTCTCTCTCTAAAATGCCTTTCGAAAGTCTCAACGAGTTATTATGCAAAACGGCTACTTATAAGGCAAATATGAAAATTTATTCCCGAACGCCTCGTCGCCGCCTTCACGGACTTTTACTTGACGCTGACGTAAAAAGGCGTTTTATCACTTACGTCTCCTCTCGCTCATTTCGCTCATTTAGCCCCGTAATGTCGTAAACGCGCGATTCGTTTATTCGTCCACGCGTTAAGTTAACGCGACGGTTCGGTCGCGCGGAAAAAAGTGGCAGTTCCGCTTCTCGTTCGGAATTCCCACAGTGTTCACCTATACGGGTAAGGTCGAAAAGCGAACGACTCGAGAGGGAGCGGGGGGAGTCCCGTGAAGTTTAGAACACGCGGATTCATCTCTCTTCGTGGCTCCACGTACGTGTTCACGTGTACGTTGGCCACCAGCGAGCCAGGTTCCTTCTTCCCGTTGGAAAACGATAGCTTCCTCCTCTGCGAGACGATGCCATAAATCTGGCGGAACTTAATATCGTCGCTGCCAGTTCCGCGTGCCCGTACAGTTTGTTGTCGGCGATGAATACGACACGGGGGCGTGGGAAAAACGAGGGTAGGCAAGACGAAACGACGAATGCTTGCCAGGGACAGGAGTCGGGTCATCGACTTTGCAAACGCCGCCGTTTGTCCCTCGCCCCTCTCTCTCTCTCTCTCTTTCTCTCTCTCTCTCTCTTTCTCGGTTCTCGGCTAGCGCCAGCGCCGTCGAGGCGAGCTGAGAGCGATGAAAAAATAAATAACGATTAAAAATATCGAGGAGAACGTGATGTATTTTTTCGAATCACACGTCACAACGGAGCCCTTCGCGAGGCGAGGGGATTATTTCGAGCGACCTGCAGCCGACGATCGAAGCGACTAATGAGTAAAAATAACGTGGAAGAAGTAAAAGCGGTGCGGGTGAGGTTGCGAACGACGGAAGGAAGGAAGGAAGGAAGCTCGCCCCCGCGCGCCCCTGGGGGCTCTAGATGGTGGTCGAAGGAAGTGTCTCACGGTATATCCTCCCGTCGTGATTACGACGTTACGGGCCGGCGTAAACATAAAAGTTAAGCAAAGCGTCGCAATAAACCGCGGGCGTAAAAGCGGTTGAGTGTAAAGTTCGGTACGGAGCAATTTCTGACGGCCGGGACGGACGGAGGGAGGGAGGGAGATTAATCCCCCGGCGTTGGAGTGTCGGGCGTAGGGGGTGAATGAGCTTTGCGACCGATTAAGATAAATCTGTGTTTCCAGTGATTGTTTGGAGCGTCGCCAGGCACCCCGCGTACCACCACCACTAATGACGGAGCTTGACCGTGCGCCTTGCGGGAACGGCTATGAATTCGAAATCGAGCACAATATTACGCGATTATGGAAATAAAGAAAAGAATGGCTCGCGCGCGCGCGCGCGCGAGCGAGCGAGCGAGCGAGCGAGAGAACGATTATGCAAATCCCATCAGCGTCCGAATAATACGAGATTCCGCCATTTAGTTAATTGGCCGACATCGGCGAAGCGCGAGAAAAAAAGAGAGAGAAAAGGCGGAAAGGGAAGGAGGAGAGAACAGAAGTGACAGCTCGCGACGCGGACTTTCCTGTTGGGAATTAAATGTCATTTCCGCGGACGTCCAAGTCTGCCGGGCGCGTAAAACGATTCTCCGACTTCGGATCGGCAAGTAGTAGCACTTACCATCCCCCGATCGATTCTCGCTCGATTGTTTCTCGCGTGTGACTAGAGAAGTATTTCAATAACGGCCGGCGAATGCGACACTTTCGCGCTCGTGTAACGTATATCTTCTTTGTACTCTCCATAGATTTCCTCCAGTCAGCCATTTTTTGCGCGGCCCATCTGTTTGCCCTTTACTCGGCCGCGCGATCCTGATTCTTTATCCATATTCAGTTTTCCGCGAAGCAACGTCTCCTCCCGGAATTTACTACTTTCCCGCGCACCCGCGATATTTGTTTTAATAATTTTTGCGTCTCTCGCGCCGCGATCTTCTCCGCTGCGCTCTCCGAGAATTCGTCAGCCGCTCGATTTGTCGGGTCCCGCCGAGATCGCGCTAACGCGGCGTGCAATTTGTTCGCCGAGATGATGATGACGATGACGACGACGAGAACGACGTCGGAGCGGGCAGTTTGAGAATTTGACGACGAAATCTCCGGGGTGACGCCGAGACCGCGCCGGCATATTTCTGTTCGCGCTGAAAAATCGAGCAGGACGCGAGAGAGAGAGAGAGAGAGAGAGAGAGAGAGAGAGAAAGAGGGGGAGAGAGAGCGCGGCTAAGCGCGTCGCGGTAAACGTTCCGTGGAAGAAGTTTATTGAAACGGAATTACACGCTTGTTGCATTAACCGCGGCGCTAAAGCCAAGCGCAACACTCTCTCTCTCTCTCTCTCTCTCTCTCTCTCTTTCTCTTTCGCTCACCGTCGTTCACTTATTTCCACAAACCGCCCAAGGTGCGCAAAAGCTCGCCCACGTCACACACTTTACTGCG